CGACCAAACTGCCGCCGCTGCCGCCGCTGCCACGCGCTCCCCGCCTGAGCCCGTTGCCATGATCGCTCAGGCTCCGGTTGACAAGGGCAGGCGCCGACTCGGGACGGAGCCCGGGAAGGGCCAATCGCCGACCTAGCCCCAGCGACCTCATAGGCGAGGCCGCCCACGTGACCGAGCCTGTCACAGAGGCGGCGGCGGCCATCTTGGAAGAGGGCGGAAGCGGCCTCTGCCCGCCCACCCGGGGAACCCGCCGTGGCTCTGAGCCCGCAGAATTTAGAGCCGAGAGTCTGGAGCTTGATAGTGGAAAGACGTTGGGCACTTACGGGGCTCATGAGCCCGGGGACTGGGGCGAAGAGACACCAATTTCAAACAAGAAGCCCACTTTCCCCCGCCCCATGCACACTCACAGGGATAACTCCCGGTCTGATGCAGGAGGCACAACTTGACCGGTTTTAGGCAACTCGACGGTCAAGAAGCACCACCTCAGTCTGACGATGGACGTGACAAGTCCAGGCCCTCAAAGAGCAGTTCCCCGTTTGAAGAAATACCTTTCTGGTCCTGGGAGAACCCAGGGCCTGAGAGGGGAGACAACTTTCCCCATCTCAGGGAGCTCCCAATGGGGTGGGGAAGCCATAGAGAAGCCAGATTGGCAATTGAATTGAGGACAGTAACCGCCCCTTTTCATATTGTGTCATTTTTTTTAATTATGGTAAAATACACATAACGTAAAACTTATCATTTTAACCATTTTTAAACATAAGAGTTCAATGGCCTTAATCCATTCACCTTGTTGAGCAACCATCACCACCATTCATCTGAACTTTTTCATCTTCTCATGTTGAAATTGTACTCATTAAACCATTAATTCCCATTCCCCTTCCCCAAGCCCTTGAACCACCATTCTACTTTCTGTCTCTAGGAATTTGATTAAGTACCTCATGTAAGTACCTCATAAATGTCCCTTTATGTCGGGCTTATTTCACTCAGCACAATGCCTTCATGATTCAT